TAGGAATATCTTTCCTTTACCTACATATGTGGACATAATTTCCTTCAATTTGCCATTTGTTCGTGTCTTTATTTTCTGTAAGACACACATAGCCAAAGCCGACCATTTCAATCTCTTTTTAAAAACATGTGTGTGTGTGTGTGTGTGTGTGTGTGGTACATGTGTGTGCAAGCGTGTGTGTGCGGAGGAGGGGGACAGCATCTGGTGTCTGCTCTATCATCTCTGCCTTATTCCCTTGCGACAGGGTCTCGCCCTGCCCCTGGGGCCAGGCTGGCAGCTGGAAGGCCCCAGCGAGCCTCCTGTGCCCACAGTGCAAAGGGTTATAGGTATGTGCCACCACACTGGCGTCCGCAGTGCTGAGAGGGAGCTTCCATGTGCCAGGCAAGCTCTCCACCAGCTGAAACTACAGCTCTGGCCTTGGTTTGTTGGTGTTTTGAATACATAGCCCCCAGACTACAGGCTCACATATCCACACTGGGATTTTTTAAAAAATGATTTATTTTAAGTGTGTGTGTGGTGTGTGTGTGTGTGTGTGTGTGTGTGTGTGTGTGTGTGTGTGTGTGCTCGAGCTGTCCATGCAGGCCTGTGCATATGTGTATGGGTGCCCATGGAGGCCAGAGGCATTGCATTCCCTTGAACTGGCAGTGAGATGCCTGATGGGGGTGCTGAGAATCATACTTGAATCCTCATGAAGAGCAGTGTGCGTTTTTAACTGCTGAGCCATCTCTTCAGCCTGGGATATATATATATTTTTGAAACGTGGATGCTGGGGATTTGAACCCAGGTCCCAGGGCTTGTACGAGTCACTGAATCATCTGCCCAGCCCCAGCCACCCGTGCTCAGAGCTTCCTCTTCCCAAACCGAAATTCTTTTCCTACTAAACAGCGATTCCCCACCTCTTCCCCCTCGCGCCTCACAATCTCCGTTCTACTTTTTGTTCTGGTGGTTCTGACTTCCCTATCAGCTCTCTATCAGTGACGTCATAGCGGTTCTCCTTTTGGGTCTGCATTAATGTAATGTCTTCCAGGGTCACCCACACGGTGGCATGTAGCAAGTGCACCTTTCCTTTTGGGGGTGAACGTCACACCCCTGGAGACTACCCACCCATTGTTGGTGTGCCATCACCCCTACACTGGCTTTTGTAAACAATGCTGCTATAGACTTGAATGTCTTCTGTTTTATTTAAAAAAAAATTTTTAAAAAACATTTTACTTTATTTTTCTTTTACGTGCATTGGTGTTTTGCCTGTATGTTTATCTGTGTGAGGGTGTCAGGTCTTGGAGTGACAGACAGTTGTGAGCTGCCGTGTGGGTGCTGGGAATTGAACCCTGGTCCTGTGGAAGAGCAGTCGGTGCTGTTAACTGTGGAGGGTCTCTGCAGCCCCTCTTCCATTCTCTCACGCGTGTGCCCAGATGTGGAATTGCCGGCTCACGTTAACCCTGGCTGCAGTTTTGCATGGAGCCGTCTTTGACTTTTCTAGTCTGTAGACCGCAGCACATCCTTCCTTTGGTGAGTTCCCCGTGGCTCTCCCGCAGGGAGTTGCTGATCTTCCAGAGGAAAAGCACCAGGTGTGCGGCTTCTGAACTTTGGCCGTTGGCTCATACCTGTTCCTCTGCCGTCCATGTGCCCGGAGGGTCCCTGGCTGGCCCTCCGGCCCTGCGTGCGTGAGAATGCATTTTCTGTTTGCCTTACTTTTTGCGTTTCTCTTAGGAAGCGTGATACCTGCCTACATCTACGCCTTTCTAACTTCCTTACCTTTCAATTGTAATAGGTTGTGTGTGTGTGTGTGTGTGTGTGTGTGTGTGTGTGTGGTGTGATGTGTGTGTTCGTGGAAGTGTGCGTGTCATGGCATGCATCTGAAGGTTAGAGGACACCGTCCTGGGTGGCTCACACCTTGGTTGGTGTCACGTTGGTGACAGGGTTTCTTTGTTGCTAGCTGGCCTCAAGCTTCTGGGGATTCTCCTGTCTCCGTCTCCCAGCTCATCATAGGAGCAGCTGTGAGCACAGTAACGACCATGTGTGGCTTCCTGTGGGTTCTGGGAATCTGAACTCAGCTCCTTCTGCTCATGCAGCAAACTTGATACCTCCTGAGCCACCCAGCCCTCTGCTGGTTTAAGTGAGAGGTATCTGACAGACGTGCTAACACATGTCCTGGTTATTCCTCAGCATTCTCCCGAGGTGAGCGAAGTCGCCTCTGGTGTAGAGTGTGCGGTTCCCTTATTCCTGGCTTGTCTGCAGACGGCAGTGTTGAGAAGTGTCCGTTAAACTGGAAAGTACTTTTGGGTGGTGAGGGTGCTGTGCTCAAACCAGAGCCTTGTCCCGCCTGCTGACTTTAAAGATGTGTGTCACCACCGCCAGCTCAGAGATTAAAATTGAATATCAGCTTTGTTTTGCTTTTGGAGTTTCCTCATTAGGGATTCCAATTCATGTACGTTCCTCCTCTTTCTGGGCTCCCAACAACTTCTGTCTGAACCTTTTCACTTATTTTTCTTCCCCTTTCCTTTCTTTTCTCCTCTCCATGCTTCCCTTTTTGGCGTGTGAATGTGTGTATATACATGTTGGTTTGTGTGTGTATATATGTATATGTGTGTGTGAAGGCCAGAGCTTATATGTTCCTGTTGGATGGGTGCATGTCATACATACGTACATGGGTGTGGAGGCCAGAGATTGGCCTGTGGTGTGTTCTTTGGTAGTTCTCCACCTTACATAGAGATGAGGTCTGTCCCTTACACCTGGAGCGTGCGGATTCTCAGCTTGTGTAGCTAGCTTGCCCCGGAGGCCGCCTGCCCCTACCTCCCAGGTTCTGTATCACAGGTAGGCTGCCAAGCCTACACTGCTTGCAGGTGGGCTCCTGGTGACCAAATTCCTGCTCCTCTGTCTGTCTGTCTGTCTGTCTGTCTGTCTGTCTCTGTCTCCCTGTCTGCCTACCTGCCTGTCTTCTCCTGGCTCAGCCTCCGGAGTGCTGAGATTACAGGTGGACGCAATCACCGGTCAGTGGCCAGGTTGGGGCTGGGAGTTGGCGATGAAGTGCTAGGATTCCTTTTCAGCCGTGTGCTCACTTTTCTCTCTGCAGTAGCAGCTTTCCTCTCTTTTGACTTTTCAGTTAGGGAGCATTTGGGAGCTGGGCTTCAGGCGAGTGCTTTCTCTTCTGTCCTTCGCTCAGGTGCAGTACCAGGCAGCAGAGGAGGACAATGCAGCCAGTCCTAATGAGACCTGACCGGCTAGGGTCAGATGGAAGGGGAGGAGTTGGAGAGGGAGGAGATGAGGGAGGGATGGTGGGATTGGCAGGGAATGAGGAAAGGGGCTACGGCTGGGATACAAAGCAACTAAACTGTAATTGATATACAAAAATTAGAATTAAAATTAAATAAAGAAGATGGTGCCAGGCGGGGAGGGCCTCTTCTTCTTATTTCTCAGTCGTGTTTCCTTCTCACTTCTTTCATTCCCTTCACTACCAGGCCTTGAAGGGCATCAGCTGTTCCCACTTACCTGACTTTTCCCAAGACTCTGGGCCTTTTCAAGTCTGGAACCTCTTCTCCATTGTTTTACAGATTCTTCCCTGGACGGCACAGTGCTGGGATTCCTTACAGGGTGACAAGTCTGTCTTCCATAAGATCTCAGCAGTGGTGAAGGGCATCTGCCGGGATGGGGCATCTGCCAGAGTGGGGTGTCTGCTGGTGTGGCGTCTGCCGGAACTGAGTGGCTCTTCCTCTTCACTTCTGAGAAGTCTGAAGTTCCTGTGAGGCTCAGATCCTGGCAGGCAAATGCTAGCTGTCTGTGCCTTTGTTTTGTTCAGGATTGGGCAGACTACTACTCAGGCAGGCCCTGCCTCCTGCAGTCTGTGCGACCTCAGGAATATTTGCAGCCTTTCAAGTACTGGCAATCTTTTTCAGACACGGGGACTCAGAGTCACAAGGGCACCGACAAGGTTACAGTCAGCAGAGAGCCGGCTACCTGCTCACCTCATTCCTTCAAAAAAGCAACCAATGAAAAAGAAAAGACAAAAATATAAATTACCACCCGTCTCTCCCCTTTTTCATGTTTATTTAAAACCATTACAGTTTTGCTCTTAAGAGCGGGCAGAAAAAAAAAAAAAAAAAAAAAGGAGGCAGGGTCATCCTTACAAGCGAGTTCCTTGAAATCTACCTTCCCTGTCTCAGTGTTGTTCAGACCGCAGGGTGCTGCATGCCTGTCACCCCAAGACTGAGGAGTCTGATGCAGGAGGACTGCTATGAATTTGAGGCCAGCTTGGGCTAGATGGTGAGTCCGAGGCCAGTCTGGATGACTGAATGAGAGCTTGTATTTAAAAGAAAAAAAAAGAAGCTAAAAATCCAAGAACCCACTGTTGTCCAAATATTAAAAGAGACGGTTGCCGCCGGGCCGGGCGACCTCTGCAGACCGGACCCCTCCAGGTCTTCGGGGAGCCGCGCGCACGCCCCCGCGGCCTCCACCTGCCACTCCCGGGCGCGCGCAGTGGGCGGAGCGCCGCTGCCATGGAGACGAGGCCCCGCCCCCGCGCCCGCCCCTCAGCGTCGATTGGTCGCCCTTTGCTCCCTGACCCCGCCGCCGGGCCGCCGCTTCCTGCCGGGCGCC